TCACCCTGGCAACAGGGATGCTGTCATGACTGTCTATGTATCCCACCTGACAGTCGCCGCTGGCTATACGCATAGCACACACACACACACTCCACAATGCTATCCTCCCACACATTCAAACACACACACATATGCACACGGGGTTACATGCATTACTATCCTGGGTTTTTCCATTTTACAAGTTAAAGGCGTCTCCAATACACAGAATTACAGAAATGCACATGCCCACACACCCATGTTCTTTTGGGGCTCAATATGTGACACAAAAAGAGCGTAATCTCTAAAACAAAATGGTGAAGATGTGGCGTAAATACCAAAGAACTGCTGAAAAAAACGTTTAGAGCTTTATTTAATACTAAACGTCAGCTATATTTAAAATACCTTCGCTTTGCTTCGCTGTGCTTACTTTTACTTTCATTACAACTTGTAATTTCATTGTTTTTAATTTCTTTATTATTTGATGCATTGGAACAAATAGTCTAAGAAGGAAATTGGCATGTGTGTATTTATCTGTTATCTGTTAATTACCCTCAAGAGTCACAGACTTAGTGAAATGAATTCCACCTGAGTGTAATCTAAGTGTCACATCGTGTGTCAGTGTAAACACACCTTTTCTGAGAGGCTGCTATACACCTCTAAGCAAGAGGCATCCCATCATGTTGATCAAGGAGCTCTCCAAAAAAATCAGGAACAAAGTTATTTAGGAGTACAAGTAAGGGTGGAGATATAGATAAATAATAAAAGTATTTAATGTTTCCATGGAATATTATTAGAATCATATTCCTCAAATGGAAGCACATGGTATCACAACAAACCAGTCAGGAAAGGGTCTCCCACCCAAACTCACAGACTGGGCAAGAAGGGCCTTATTATTAGAAACAGCATATAAACCGAGGTAACCCAGAAAGAGCTGCAGAGTTGGCTGGGCTTTATTGAAGAGTGGCCAGAAAAAGTGATTATTTATAGTTAAAAAAAGGGAATGTGTGTTTTCTCAAGAGCATGTGGGTGACTCCCCAAATGTCTTCAGGAAGGTTCTCTGATCAGATAAAGTTCATATTTATCTTTTCAGAAGAGAACAAGCTTACAAAGAGCAAATGCGGCTGCCGGCGTACTGATAGTTCTTCTTTCCTTTCCGATTCCAGAAACAAGAGGCCAGATACAAGAGGCTGAAATTAGTTTTCTCCACAGGGTGGCCGAATACTTTCTTTTAGATGAGGTTAGGGACTCTGTCATCCAAGAGAGGCTCAGATTAGAGCTGCTACTCCTCCACATCAAATCAGCTAAGGTGGCTACATTTTAGATGTCCTTAGACATCATCCTGGAGAGGTTCTCCACGTACGTTCTAGAACACTCAAGAGGCCCAGTGGACAACCAGGGACTCGCTGGAGGGTCTCTCGGCTGGCCCTAGAATTTCTTGTGGTTCCCCCAGAGAAGCTGGAGGAGGTTTCTGAGAGGGAAGTCTGAGAGTCTCTGCTGAGACTGCTGTCCCGGCGAAACATTCACCGTTAGCGAGACAATTACAATATTTGCCTTTTAAGCATCTAAGGAAAGAGGTTATTCCTGATGCAACTTCAACACTTTTCATCCAGCAAATAACAACCCCACAGTGGAACATGGTGGTGGCAGCCTTGTGCTGTGGGCATGTATTCAAAAGCTTTAAATCAGCTTTGACCAGTTTCTCTGGTTAAAGCTGATTGAAAAAGGATGGAGCTAAACACAGAAATATTCTTAGAAAGGCAAAGCCAAAGTCCAGACCTCATTCCAATGAGAATCTTTGATTAGAATTGAAGATCACTTTTTACGAGTGAAAACAGGGGGAACAATTTTAAGAAAATGCAAAAACCTCATTGGCACGTTAGGAAAAACTTACTCCGTATTTTTTTTTTTTTTCCTATTTATGGTTTTCAGTCTTGATACAAAAATTTAGCTTCTTTAAATACCTGGCTGCCCTTTCCCCATTTGTTGCTACACGCTGCTGTTCAGCTGGCTGAAACAGGGTCAGGGGTTAGGCTACTTGGTAGCCAGCTACGTCCTTGCAGCAAATATTGAACCATTCTATCTCATATTGTTTTCCTTCTTGCTCTGTTAAGACCAACAACATCAAAATAATCAGAACTTTTGCATATAAATTTGCAGTACTCAGAAAAATGATGTTTACTTTGAACATTACAATCCTGTAATGAAGTTCATCATAGCTAAACTCTCACCTATGCTCACTTGGTTACTGTCCAGCCTTCTGACTGCTGCTCATGTTTGGTCTGTTGACATCATCTGTATCTCGGGTGGAACTGACCTGTTTAGTAGCCTATTAATAGTGCGTCACAGACTCACGTTCAGTGACAGCTCTGTTTGGACTCTGTGTTCTGTCCAAGTCCAGTGCTCCGCTCTGACCCAGTTTACAAGCAAGAACTGGTGGAAATGGGTCAATCAGGAGCTGCAACAAAACTCCAGAGCATGAGCTTTTTTTCTACTTTAGGTACAAAAAAATCTTAGTCTTAATATTCAACAAGAAAGATAATGTTTTAATATGCAATAGAAATGTGTTGAAAAAGACATGATAAAGTTGCAGATTCAGACCAGATCTTGGTGAACCTGAAGTTTGCTTATAGAGGTAACAAAAACATTCATAGATTTAGTTTTACAAATCATTTACTTTCTTCTTGCTGGAAAGAATATAACATTACAGAGTGACCTGGCTAGAACCCTGGATTTAACCTAAAGATTAGGGTTATGACAAAGAGGGACTCCAACCTGCTGGAACTCATCGATAAATATAAATCGTAAGATAACCAGTGGAAATGTGCGAAAACCCAATAAGAAATGATGACTCCTATAATTCCACAAAACATTTTCCACCGATTATTCAGAAGGGGAAAACTTTTCAACAAGTTGGTTTTTGTTAAAATGTAAGTAGAAAACTGATATCTTATTCTTCTCTAGCTATCAGAACCAAATTTCTGGTCTGAGTGAAAATAATCTGATCATTTAGAGCTTGTACTTTAAAGGGCATCTATCATGTAAAATAATTTTTTTATCAGCTTTTATCTGTACAGCTTTTCCTTCATCAAAATCAAGCACAAATAGGTGTTTAGTTTGATTCATGCATCTCTGAGTAATCCTCATTAATTCTGCTGTCTGAGCAGCAGCTCCTCCCTTACTTGTACCAAGAGGTGGATAATATTTAGATAAAAGGCTCCCTCCCTTAATTTGAAGGCAAGTGTTTTTCTTCCAGGCTAGCAGAAAAAATATATATTTTTCATAACAAATTAACCCATATAGTCCTAAAGCAATTATTTGATCATATTTGCCTATAAGTGACTTTGAAAGTCTGAAGCATGATACAGAACCCTTAGAGTCCTTTAATGTCTGTAGATAGACACAAGAGGACAAAAGAGATATTGAATTAAATAAAAAAGAATAAATTAGAATAACAACAGCAAGGTATCTATGCCAATAATTAGGGTTTTAATTTTAGTGATTAGACATAGTAGAAGTACAAATATTAATATCCAAAATAGTCTTACCTCAAATAATCTTTTACTGGCAAGGGGGGCCAGGGGTTAAATAATTTTGCATCGTCTCTATTTTAAGTTTTCTTAAAATTAGTAAATACTTAATAGTTTTTATTTTATTATTTTTTTTAACTTGACATGGACACATATTTGATCTGAACTTTCCAATAACCTAACGTCCTAATGAAGTCATAAATCTGCTTTTGTTTCTCATTGTTTCCCACATTACTGAAAGTAAATCTTGTCATTAGAGTTTATAGATAGCAGCGATCGGCTGTACCTGCTCAGTTGCTCAACAGACAGAAATTACTCCATTGATCCTCATAAGTCATTATCCAATTATGTATACTGCAGACTCATTGTACAGCGCACTCGCAATTATACTACATTTGTACATAAATACAAGTTTAAATTTTGCACATATAGGAGAAATTACGTAAACATGACTGCAGTTTAAAATCAACATGATTTGGAAATATTTTAAATGTGGATGAAATTACATGAGCAATGCAATAGAAAGTGTGTGCACATCAATGACAGAGCAGTTAGCCAATGCTAACACATGCACAGATACATCTGTTCATTTCTCACACAGAATTCCTAAATTCAGACATGATTTCACCACAGGTAGGACTCAGCAAGGAGATTAACACGTGAACGGCTGTTTCTGCTGAGGGTAAGGCAGCACTCAGCAGAGGAGGGAACCAGCTCATAAGGAAACAATTTAGGATTAGTTAGGCTGTCTAATCTCTTTATAGAGACTGTGCCATCTCAGCAGCATACCTGCCTAGCTCCACATCCATGTGCATCCATCATTTCATGGGGAACAGGGGGAGCGCTCTTTTTATATATTATGGATAGCGTGCTCAAAGAACACCACAACAGGTGTTTCTCTGAGCTGAAGTAGTTTTTGTGCATATTCTGTGCCTTTATTTGGGAGCATATATGGAGCTGCCTCTTCACAGTGAGTAAGATGACATGGTTTGATGAGTGCAAGTTGTGGCAGAGAGAACAGGCAAGATGAGCATGAACAGAATGTGTGGTGCTTCAGTGATGTAACCAGTTTTCTCATTATGGGACAAGCCTTTTAACCTGCAGGGGTCTCTGTACTTCAGTCCACAAACAGAATCCACTCACAGGCTAGTCATGTACTGGTGGTGTGTGCAGGTTTAAATTCTGCGTTTGTTGCGTACTTATGCAGTCCTAAGTGCCCAGTTAGCAGAAAACTCCTGCAAAGACATAATAAATGTCCACATGTCACCGTGCCCTTGTGAATTTAAAGTCACAAAAATAGGATCCAGGGACGCGTTGCAAGCTCAATCAGGTACTGCCGACGACTTAAAATGAGAACTCCAGCTGGGTTGCAGGACCGCTGGCTGAACAAGATTGAGTTCAGGGGAGCAGGAGTTTGTGTTAAGTCCAGAAAGTAATTTTTAAACCAAATGTTTTCTGTCTTCTCAGTAATTGTTTTTCTTTTCTTCTTCTCAGCCCAAATCGAAGTCATACCATGCAAAATCTGTGGAGACAAATCATCAGGTATCCACTATGGAGTCATTACGTGTGAAGGCTGTAAGGTATGACCTAAGACCTCATTAAGAAATTTAAAACTAAATCACCTGGTGTATTAATCTACAGGTATTTAAGTGTTTGCTTGTTTTTGGTGGCTTGTACCCAGGGTTTCTTCAGACGGAGTCAGCAGAATAATGCCTCCTACTCCTGCCCCCGACAGAGGAACTGCCTCATCGACAGAACGAACCGCAACCGTTGCCAACACTGCCGACTGCAGAAATGTCTCGCTCTAGGAATGTCCAGAGATGGTGAGACCCGGTTTATCTCCATTAATCTAACGGTTTAGTATTAGTTTTATTTTTGCCACCCTGAGTTCTTCTATCTGCTCCTTTAGCTGTCAAGTTTGGTCGCATGTCCAAAAAGCAACGTGACAGCCTGTATGCAGAGGTCCAGAAGCACCAGGCCCGGCTGCAGGAGCAGCGGCAACAGCAAACTGGAGAAGCTGAGGCTCTGGCCCGGGTTTATTCATCCAGCCTAACCAATGGACTGTCCACCCTCAATCATGAAATTGGGGGCACCTATGCCAACGGTCACGTCATAGAGCTACCAAAAGGTGGCCACGTCAATGGAGGTGGAGTCCCTGGGGGCTACTATGGGATGGATTCCACCCAGCCGTCTCCAGACCAGTCAGGTTTGGACATGTCAGGCATGAAGCACATTAAGCAGGAGCCAGTTTACGACTTGACGCCGGTGCCAAACCTGTTCAGCTATGGAGGCTACCAGGAGAGCCAGTTTGGACCACATAATGTCAGCATTGGAGAGCTTGGTAAGAATTGCAGAAGTTTAATCTTAAAATAAACAAAACTTCAGGGATTTTTCTTAAAGGAAATTAATCATTACCCGCAAAGTAAATCTGGAAGAAAGTGTGAGTCAGTGTTCTAATCTGAAGGCACAACAGGAGATCAGGCCGGCTTATGTGGCTAGCTGACAATGTGTCATATTACTGTTCGGAATACCTCCGGCAGATTGCACTTTGTCAAAGTTAAGCACTTCACATCAAATCAAAGAAATTTTGAAAAGACTAAATGGTTTATTCTCTCCCTATAGACCGCATCGCTCAGAATATCATCAAGTCACACTTGGAAACATGTCAGTACACAACAGAGGAGCTACAGCAGCTCGCCTGGCAGACACACTCCTATGAAGAGGTCAAGATGTACCAGAGCAAGGTGAGCCTTCAGATCATCTCATTCTCACTCAGGATAGCACTTTATGTGTTTTTTTTGTTTTTTTTTTCTTGGATGTAATAGAGAAGAAACATAAGCAGACGAGAATATTTGCAGGAACACGAAAAATAACAATGAAACATAGCCGGTATAATTTATTGCTATGAATGCCTAAACTTGTTTCGGATGCTTTCAGCCCAGGGATGTGCTGTGGCAGCAGTGTGCCATCCAGATAACCCACGCCATCCAGTACGTGGTGGAGTTCGCCAAGCGCATCTCAGGGTTCATGGAGCTTTGCCAGAATGACCAGATCCTGCTCCTCAAGTCAGGTGAGATGTTGGAGCAGCAGCTGCTACATTAACTGGATTTAAATTTTTTTTGGCAAATTGCTCCACTAATCAGGATTTTGTGGCTGATTTCCAATGATAAACCTGAGGTCTGTCTTTAAACAACATGTAGAAAAGAGTCCATGTTAAGTCCAACTGTAACTGTTTAGATTTCTCTATAACACATAAAGCCAGGGCAGTTTTACCCTCAAAGGTTTATTACATGTCACATGTGATTAGATTAACAAATCAATTAGGAATCACAATAAAGTCCAAGAAATCACAAAATGTAACTCCGCTTTTTATCTCGTGATGTCAACATTTTGAAGATGGCAGCAAAACTGATTAATTTACATCTAATGATTGAAAGAACACGAGATTCAAAATATCTGAAAATATTTTTTCTGTGCTAAAGTGTTTTCTGGGGAAAAAAATGTGACATGATTCTCTCCATCTATAAATATATAAAGAGTCCACATATAAACCCACATTTTTTTTAAAGATCTATCTGGTATATATGGTTAAGAATGATAAGAACACTCCTATTTTGTTTTTTTGATTGTGTTCATTAGGGTTACATACATTTTAAAATAAGAAAGGAATACATAGAAAATTAATATGTAAGCTTGCATAAATTATTAGACCACTCTTTTTTTCCTTTGTGTTCATTGTAGTCATTAGGTTATGTGTCTTTAGAAGAAGAAAATGACATTGGTGGTCTAAAAGAAAAATGTTTCCATGTCTTTTATCAAAAGTCCAGCTTAAAACTGAGTTTTCTAAAAGGCTGAAAATATTTTCAAATCAATAAAGAACATAAACACATGTAAAATAGATACAATTTTTAATGTTTTTGAAGTATTTGGAGCAAATACAAAAGGTAAAACTGAAAGTTTAACCTGAGCAGGCTAAACTATTGTTACTGTCACTAGTTTGTGGTTATTGAAGTTGGAACACAGAAAATGTAAGAGTTAAATTGGATTTTTCTTTGTTTTCATGCAATTGTATATAAATGGCTAAAGGTATTGAACCATAAACAGAATTGGGTAGAGTACCCAAAAATTTCCTAGAGTAAGAGTAGCACTACTTAAACATATTTCCACTCAGGTAAAAGTAAATAGGAGTCATCCAAGAAATTATTTAAGAGTTAAAAAAGTACTTGCTAAAACGGCTACTTGAGTACTGAGTAATTGATGGCTTATTACATCTGATTGCATATTTAAAATATGCAAATTCTGGTATTTGAAAGTTATAGAATAAAATTAAAGAAAATAACATAAGTAAATAACAGAATTACAATATAACAAAACCAGACAAAAGAAACCCTTTTCCAAATCATTTTATTAACATATAAAACCATACTTTACTGTAGGTAATGTATAAATATTAGAAAAGGCTAAAGAACTTCCATATGTACTCCTTACTTTATAAAAAGTTAATTCCCTAGTAACTCCATAGGTGTGTCGGGGAACCAGCAATTTTACTCAACAGTAGCTTTACTCTCAAAACATTTGTACTTAAGTAAAAAGTATGGTAAAGTGAAACAACTCTTAAAAGTACAAAGTTCTCTAAAAGTTACTCAAGTAAATGTGACAAGTTATGACCCTACTCTGTTTATAGATCAAATTACGCCATTTCCAGATGTTTACTCTAGCAATCTCTAAAAAAAAAACTACTAGAAAAAGTGCCACTGGTTTGACTGGGTGTGGAGAGATCATAGGTTGATAAAATATATTTGAAAGAAGTGTCAATCAAATCAATTATTTTAGCATTTTAGTGTAAGAAAGTAATATTTAAACATAAAATACAATACCTTATCAAAACAATAGGCTACATCATTTTGTAACCCGCCTATAGATTCTGTCCTGTTAATATGAGAAATTCAGTGTTCCGAATTTTAGCCTTCCTGTTATCTGCCATAGAACTCACTCTCCCTCGTACAGTATAAGTTAACTCCAAATATGTCTCACATATCAAACATGTTGTTATCTTTTAAATAGATTTCTATGTATGCCACTTAGTTTGGGCTTATGATGCCATGTTTAGAAAAAGATTGAATTTTTCCGTTTCCACCTTCCTGGTCGCTGTTCAAGACTGGTCTAGCTGAAAATTGTTCAATCCCATTAAACATAGAATTTTTGTTCTTTTTACTTTTGCCAAAACTATTTCCATCATCATATTAATTCGTATTAAAATAATTCTTTCAGGTTGCTTGGAGGTGGTCTTGGTACGGATGTGTAGAGCCTTCAACCCTCTTAACAACACTGTTCTCTTTGAGGGGAAGTATGGAGGCATGCAGATGTTCAAATCTCTAGGTAAGGCATTTTTATATATCCATGTTTTCTTTTTCCAGAAGCGACAAAGAAGAACAAGAGTAATAACATTCTTACTTTGTCTCTTTAAGGTTGTGACGAGTTAGTGAGTGCAGTGTTCGACTTTGCCAAGAGTTTGTGTTCACTGCAGCTAACGGAGGAGGAGATTGCTCTGTTCTCAGCAGCTGTACTAATTTCCACAGGTCAGTCTTTGTCCAAAACTGTCATAATAGTTCATGTACGAAACAAATTCACAATAGAAAACAAGATTTTTTTCTCTGATGATACTTGTCCTCCCTGAGCTGGTATCAAGATAAACCAAACAATTGAAAAGGTCAGCGTTTCTATACAGCAAAACGTTTATAATACTGCCCATGCAGTATGAATGAAAGTCATTTTAAAGAGGCATCAAAGAAAATGTTGAAATGACAGACTTTACTGAGCATCTACTAATGCAATACCTCCCAACCATCTGTTGCTGCACACTGTCAGCTGGCTGAAAGGAGGGTGTTACATCATTTGCTGACTTGCTAGGGATATTTCTGTAAGGGGAAAAAAGGAAAGTAAGAATTACACTCAATCAAATGGAGTGTCACTCATTGCTCCCATTAAGGTAACAGGGTTTCCAAACTGCAGTTATATTAGCTCTCAAAGTAATTATGAAAAACACATAATGACTCAAGCCTTATTGACTTTTTCATAGCTGGAGAAATTCAGTTCAACCTTAGTGGAGAGTGGAAGGTCAGCTCTATTATTCCGCATCAACTTTAACACTGAAGAAATCTCATGTCTCCGCAGATCGGCCATGGCTGATGGAGCCTCGAAAAGTCCAGAAGCTCCAAGAGAAGATCTACTTTGCTTTGCAGCATATTATGCAGAAGAACCACATGGATGAAGATGCACTAGCCAAGGTAGGCTGAAGAATTTACAAAAAATATTGAATGCAATCATCGCAATCATAGTTTTTTTTCTGGCAACCAAAAACAAAAGGTTCTTAATACTGTTGTCCTTGTTTAACAGCTGATCAGCCGGATCCCGACACTATCTGCCCTGTGTACACTCCACACTGAGGAGCTTCAGGCATTCCAGCAACTCCACCCAGAAACCGTCAACGTTCTCTTCCCTCCGCTCTACAAGGAACTGTTTAACCCCGACCCAAACTCTGCCATGGCCATGCCTAAGTGACCGCCCTGCGGTCCAAATGCAATGAACAGTTGAAGAAAACGGACCAAGAAAATGTGTCAGCTGTTATCTGACAAGACACTCTCGGCCATTCTGGCAACTACAGATGTTTTTGGAGCTCTCCCAGGCTCCTTCCAGGCTGGTGGGTGAGGATTCATCAGCTAGAAACTTAAGAGTTACTATACCAACAATACTAGGAATGTCCTGCACTTATCCCATCCTGTTCACCGATACAGTCTGAAGAATGTATATACAAGTGAAGCGTGCCCCAAGCCACAACCTCAGAGGGGGTTCCAGGTGTCTCCGGAAACGAACTGACCAGAAATGTACAGACTTTAATGACAACTACAAACAATTTTAAGCAGTCAAACTTTTTTTGTTTTGTTTTTTGTTAAAAAGGTGGGTAAGTTAATTTGATCTTAAAAAGAAAAAGGTTTTCTTTTTTTTTTTCCAGTGAAGACATTGTTATTTGTGGGAAGCTGGATGGGGGAGGGAACTGTGGATTTAGAAAAGCTATTGTAGATATTCTTCTAGCTGAGAGCAGATTCCAGTATTATTTCTTTTTCTGTTAAAATAAGTTAGTCCTAATTTAAATATACAGCCGCCCAGAGTGGCTGTTGATACCTTGTCTATGTGTTCCTATTTTATTTGATAGATTCTTGTGTACAGAATTTGTAAAGTTGAGACTTGTAAAAGAAAACTGGGCAAAAACTGGGAGCAAGTTTTGGGTTTGTTGATATTCAGAAGCCTTGTCTGGTTTTGTTCATATGTATAGAAGGTGTTACCGTCCTTCTGATCAAAACTTATTGAAATGTAAAGAGAGGATATGAAGGATTTAAACTACTACTTTTCAATGTGAAGATATATACATAAATGATCTATTTTGCAAGGAAAAGAATCTGGCAGATTTGCCATCCTATCAGTCGTTTATTTCTCGCTGCAATAATTATGTCCGATACTAGCTAGATTGCTGTGGAACAATCAACCAGAAGGAACCAATCAGAAACAGGGGCCTCACATTGGAGCCCGCATCGCCTCCTAACGCAGTCTGCTCTCAAATACACTGAACTATCAGGACTTTTTCGTTCGGATATGAGTAGATAAGTCAGAGACATTTTACACATGTAGTGATTATCCTTAAAATGTGAAAAGAATCCACACAAACTTGAATTAAAAACAGTCACTAAAATCTACATAGGTGCTGTATGCCCTCGCCGTCCAATTTGCACAATCCAGCCAATGGATATCAGCCACTCCCCCCAGGCTGTATATGTGGGACCCTTTTCTCTAGAGAGCAATAACTTTCAAACAGCATGTCTGGTGTCAATACTTTCCATTTCCCTTCTCCTGAGCTGTTATAAACAGGGTAGCAAGCCTAAGGATGCACTGTATTATTTACTCTTAATTGACAATGTCTCACAATCATGACAGACGGTAGGCATTCCCTCACCAACTCTGCTCAGTGTGGCTAAAATCACATACCGAAAATGTCAAGAAATGCAGTCGGCGTTGATCTCAACACCAGACCTAGCTGAGCTTTATCGTCGGCCATTTATGTAGAAAGTTAGACAATCGTTCATTTTCTACACAACGGGTAGCACTTAAAACACTATTTAGTGTTTGCAAACACTGGGCTGGAGCTCCCCATTATCTCGTTTAATTTTGTTTTAAAGGAGGACACATCAGTTGCTTGCATTAGAGTAAAAACAGAGCCCTAATAAGCAGTAAGGCATCTCAGCAACATCAACATGAGCCACTGACCAAAAAGAGGAACCAGTTAGAGCAGATTTTCCAAAGTTGGGGTCTTGAGAAATAACAACTTCCTTCTCAGTGTAAGGTCTTGGCCCCATTTAACTTTAGTCAATTTTTGGATTCAAAAGATGAAAACTTTTGGAAGCACACCTGATTTAATTCCCGCTTCATCAATATGTGTTGGACAAGAAGACAATCTTAGCTAAACTTTTTTTCCCAATTCATCCTTAGATGCCATGATTAATGGGCTAAGATCTTGTGTTTTAAAGCACTCTAAATGGTTTCTCATGCAAATTGGTGTTTTTTGCACAGTGGCCAAATCCTTCAGTGGATCTTGGGATATAACCAGAAACACAGTCAGGCTTTTAATCCATCCGTCAGCATCAGGAACACCAGAAATCATTGCATTGTTATTCGTTTGCTTTGTTTCTAATGTATTGGGGGTAAAATGCCAGAACATTTGTCAATCAACATTCCAATTTTCCACCATTAATGTCCTTGTTGTTCAAAGCACAGTCCCCCCCCCCCCCCCCAAATGACACCACGGATCAGAGGCTAGTCACTTTAAAAGACAATCACTTGCTCATTAAGACTCGATGCACTACTCAGCATCTCTCAGGGAGCAGCTCTTTTTCTCACTTTGCATTAAAAGAGGGTTTAATATTTTTGAAAACTTACCGAAATAATAAAAAAAAACTTTAAAAGAATTACTTTTTAGGATTTTTAAAAAAAATCTACCCAGACAAGGCTTTCATAGGCATATATGTCTACGTATGTATGTTTGTCCGTATGTGTGTAGAGAGTGAATTCACTGTCCGAATCATTGTAGAGACCCAGAGTTTATGATGAGCAATTTCTACTCCCTAAATAAATAAAAAAAGTCTATAGGAGATGTCACTGTGCTCGTTATTACTGTACGCTCTTGTTTGCTGGTCCCAGGACAGTGAGTGAAGTCCACTGGTGGGACAGCGATCCAGGGACAGTGAATTCCAACTCTGAATCATTTTTGTGAATTTATTTAGCTTGTTTGTTTTTCCCTGGTTAGACTGTGAATCATAGGGGTGAAACTGGGAATAATGAGTCGGGGTGGGAGGGATGGTGATGTGCTGGCAAGAACAAGTGGTAACCAACACTGTAAGTTTAAATACTGTAGCAATAAGAACTGGAGGCATTTACTACTGTCATGTTTGCATTGTAAGATTATTTTTATGTTATTACTATTTACTATTATTATTGTTCTTATTATGACTACTATTCTTCTATTACTATTAGCCTATTGTTGTTCTGTTCTATTTGCATGACGTTTCATTGCAATGAAATATCTGGGGCTTATTTGTGTTTCCTCCTCTCACGATAATGTGAGGGAGACCTTTGAAAAATGGTGGGTTATGGGTTTAGGGCAGATTTCACATCTCTTTAGTCAGTTCAAAACTTTTTTTTTTTTCACAAGCTGATTTTTTTTTTCTAAATAAAATTTCTAATTTATATGGAATGAATTTGAAATTTGTCATTGGAATTTTTTTTTTCCCCACCTTCTGAATGTGTGGATTACAAACCAGTAAATGAACAACCTTCTGTAAACGGGCCTTTTTGAAACCCTTTATCTGCTGGGAAGGGGAGGGGGGGTATCAATTCTGAATGTTATGGAGCAGCCTGTTCAGCTTGAGGGGGTCTGGACACATCATGCGCCTTTTACTGCTCCATCAACACAGAATGACATCAGCAAGCGCACAACAGCAGCCGTCCATGCTGCATTTTATTACAGCTGATTTAGAACAAGAAAAAATTTTCAGACTTATTCAGACCTAGTCCATACCTCCTCCTTTATATGAAGAAAATGTGTTTTAGCTTGTGTGTGTACGAGAGAGAAGCAGAAGAGTGCGGCAAGGTTTGCTCTAACAATGCTTTGTAAAATTTCTTGATGCATTATAATGTCTGTGCAATTGGAGTTTTTTTTTCTCATTTATTAATTTATTTTTCAGATTGTTTTTGCATCTGAGCAAGAGCAATAAAAACTAAAAAGTGTCAATCTGTGCCTGGAAGCTAAAAGAAAGATACCTGGGTAGCAGAAACTCTTAAACACACCTGACAAAAAGATGAAAACATCTAAAAGTAACAATTTAAAACTTATTATTTTTTTTTTCAAAGTGCCATAGATAGTGAGGTCGGAAAGGATTGGCAGTATGGGGCTTAGATGCTTTACTGTGTGAGTTTACATGAGAAAACCAATACAAAAGAAAAAAACAAAAGGAGGAAACTGGGAGGTAAATGTGTATTTGATTACACTAATGAACTGTTTTTACATTTTATGCTTTTCTTTTTTTACTTGTTGGGGCCTCTGCTGGACTCTGAACATCTGGCTCCACTATAAATAACACATCTAGAGTCTCCGTTCTCACTCAATGAGGAGAGCACATTTGCATGCAGGCGTATGTAATTAAAGGGAGTCTCACACAGCCAGAAGTGAAGGACCAGACTGGGGAGAGGTTCAGAGCTTTGCAGGGACCTCAGTGAGTCCTCCTTTGGGATGTAAATACAATGTGAAGGTCTGAAGTGATTTTTGTTAAATTCTATATTTTAATCGCTTTTGTAGACATTTTGTTGTGGGAAGAAAAAAAATAAATGAGATTTCATGGGTGCATTTCTGCCTTTATTTTTTCTACTTACAAAAAAACACAGATCAGTCTCATTTTAGATTCTAGCTACAATCTCGTAGTGCGAGTTTACAACAATTCAATGATAAAGCCTTTTAAAAAATCTATACAAAAGTGTAGGTATTCCTTTTAGCTTCCTGTTTATTTGCTTTATGAAAGTTCAGATAAAAACTTAACCTCTGAAGACAGACGCCTATCTCTTCTTATCAGGCAGTTTACATTGTAAACAAATAAAGGCTGATATTGTTCAGAAAAACATCTTTGTTGGAATAAGTGCATTTGTGTTTCTTTTCCCCCTTGCATCCTTCCTTGGTCAAAAGTTACATCTCGTTCTAATGGCCGTCTCCTTCTTTCTTCCCCGACGTCTGCTCTACATCGCTGTTATTCTCGCAGTTGCCCGGGAGCCTCCTTAAATCTGAACAACAGAAAACATCAGTTAGCGACACGCCACTCCAATAACACAGTGATTATCACAAGAAAGAGAATACTGACAGGCCTGGGAGGAAGTCCATGCATCCAGCATGAATAATTTGGTTTGATTTGTTGGGAGATATCTTGGAGAGGACACAAGAAAAAGGAAGAGCAAACACGACGCACCTTTGAAATATCAAAACAACTGTGTCTAAGTGTTTGCCTTCGTCTGTTTGTTTGCTGGGCTTGTTTGTTTTCGAGTGCAGTTTCTTTCCACGCAGTTATCCTCTAGATGCCAGTATCGTGTCTACCCAGAGACATTAATTAATAGCTAATCAAAGCTAATGTCTCAGCAGCACATTGCCAGCACAAAGACATGATTAATACGTAATCAAAGGCCGCACAGCACAACGCACAAAGCAGGGCCCACCCCCATGCCTCAAACGCTACTGTTGTTAGAGAAATAAACGAAGACTCGCTGCTTAATTAGCTGGCTGCTGGTGCGTGCCTCCTTCATTTGAAGTTGTCGGGGATTTCTCTCTGAGCCAACGTGGCCTCAGGAGT